CCTGCCTTCACCCTGAGTCAGCTGGGATAGACTCCAGCCCCCCGTGACCCTAGTGAGGATTAAGTGCATTCATAATGGATGGATGGATGGAAATTCCTGCATCTCTACTGAAACAGCACAACCATGACTAGAAGTAGAGAACTCAAAAATGACCAATGTGCAGCATTACACAGTTATACTGAAACCAGTAAAGACTGAAGAAATAAAATTTGTTTGATTATTTATTGTACAAAAATCTTAAAAACTTTGCTCAGTAAACACAACATTATCCAAGTGCAGACAGTTTGTACAGGAAAAACAAACAGTGGCTCTAAATGCTGAAGATTTTGAACTATTTACATTTTTAATTTGTCTTCATATTGTCTCCTATCTGCGCTGTATAGACACTGCCTGCAGTTCAGTTCAAAGTCCCTGTATTTTTGTCACATGACTGCTGGATGCAGCTGAGTCACTAATGACAGATTTTTTGAATTTATTTTTGTTTTTTTCCAGATTCTCGTTCAAGCATATGTTTTTTGGTGTGTTGAATATTTAAATGACACTGTAGAATCAAGTAATCTTGATGAAACATCCTGATTTTACGCTTAGATTTGGTTTTCCAACAGAATGGTACCTCACAGATGATCAGTTCATGAACAATCTAAAAGTGGAAAATCTGGGGATTCTTTACAGTTTCAGGCTCTGATAAATTGTGCAATTTTGACTATTTTTAAAAGATAACATGCCTTGTAGACCTGCTGTTGTGTTTGGGTATTCAGACAGTTAAGACAACGTGAATCAACAAAAACAAGGATAACTGGAAGTAAGCTTAGATGAATTTAGTATGAATCAAGCCTTAGATTGTTTTTCATGTTAATCCAGGTCTCTAAATTCAGGCATACAGTATACGTCTCATACTGTATTTCAACCCATGTACTTCAACATGTTGAACAATGTTCTAAAGCATATAAACCAATAATTTAACTCTCACTTCTTGGCCAGCTCCACTGATCAGTTCATTTGTTCCTTTTCAGATCATGTCGTGTGCGAGGAGGAGTTCAAGTACGCCATGTTGGCTCTCAACTGCGTGTGTCCCGCCACCTCCACCTTGGTCACGCTCCTCGTACACACCTCCCGTGGACGGTCAGTCCTCTTTCACAACCTCCTCGGGTTATTTAATTCTCCCTAGCTTGACTGCAAAGTTCACATATCTTCACATGTTCGTGTCCGCTGATGCATAAATAGGATCCATGGGACTGGCACAGAGAAGCGAGAAGGCCACAGCAAAGACAAAAGTCTTGGTTCATTGTGCATCACAGTCGGAAGTAAAGAGAGTGCAGCGAAAGAGAGAACAGGTGGCAGCTGCATTGATTTTTTTTAGCATGTGTCCTCTGTAACACAGGATGAATAGCTCTCCGGCGGAAAACGATTTCTCACAGCATGCAAACAGATCATTTTAAAAAGCTGATTTCAATGGCTGAGAGAAACTGCATTCAAGAAGAGTCGGTGGGTTTTACTGTGTTCCTGACAACTCCTCAGAATGTGAAGCTTTGTGTCTTTCTTTTTTTTGAATTTCTGAAATTGCACATGTTAGCCACAAAGGTGCACTGTGCAGAATGTGAGTCTGTATGTTTGCACTGCATGTGTGGGCGACTTTGAAGTTGGTTTTAGAGACATGCAGCTCATCAGGGATGTTCACTGGAAAATAAGTTTAAAAGAGAGAAGGAGATACAAATACTGTTGAGAATGTTGTTTTGCCTTTTACACAGAGTTATGAAACTCCGAGTGTGAAATCCAATTTATAAGTCATCTTATATAAATATTAATAAGTACCAAGATGCAAGTATGTAAACTGCTACCTTCGGGTTGTTCTGAGCATCTCTTGTCGCCCATTAAACTCCGTCAAAGTGCCTGAGCAATTACTCTAATTACCGGAAGTCATTACAAAGGGCAGATTAGAGCCAAACCGACTGGCTGACACAGATGGATCAAGCTGTCTGCTGTCACCGGGACACCCAGTGCTGCCCCGAGGGTCCTGAGGGATGCGTGGAGAGGAGATGGAGAGTTTTCCTTTTGCAAATGATAATTATGATTGATCGCAAGTACTGGGGATGAAGACAAAAGCTCAGGGCGTTTGTCAAGACTGCATGTATATTAGCATGTGTATGAAATTTAAGAGGTACCGGGTTTACTGATCCTTTTGTGTTTTCTCTGATTGTAAGCAGAGAGGGACAGCAGTCTCCGGAGCAGTGGCAGAGGATGTATGGATGTTGCTCTGGCAACGAGGTCTACCACATCCGACTGTGTGACAGCAAGTTCTTTGGAGAGTATAATGGCAAAAGCTTCACATACGCCTCCTTTCATGCTCACAAGAAGTGAGTTGACATGTAAGCTAAAGCATCTTCGTCAGATGCTGACAAGTTGAAAGTATATTCCAACGTTTTGCAGGGCTTTTACATACTTTGTTCTGTCTGTTTGACCTGGTTTCATCTTGTGTTAGTGCTGCTAGTTTGTCTTGTACTGGTTTGACATGAATTTCAAACAGAAAAACATCAAACTTTTAGAAAAAGAAATCTTCCAGCTTTTGATTATTGCAGGGTTTGTTTGTTTTTTACTGCTAAAAGTGATGCCATGTGTGTTGCAGACTACAAAAAAAATTACTTGTTTGAAGGAACAATTACACATTTTAGAACTACTTCTTTTTGGTTTCTAACTAAAGGTTAGATGAGAACACTGATCCCATTCTTACATCTATCCAAAGTTAAAGACACAAACACTGGAAACAGGAGGAAACAGCAAAGACTAACCTGGCTCTATCCGAGGGTGACAACATGCTCCTACCAGAACCTCTAAAACGTACTAATTAACACATTTTACCTCAAGGTGAAAAACACAAGTTGTGAGGACTGTTTTAATATTGTGGGAAATGTACTTATCCACTGTCTTACTGACAGCTAGATGAGAAGATCAACACACTCTATGTTCATGTTAAAGTTACAGGGAGGTTACAGGGATTATGTGTTGGAGTTAACCAGGGTTACATAAACATTTTTCAGGGGTGTCTTGCATTGAAAGATCTTTAGGGTGCAAGTGCAGTTTTACAATCCCACTTACTATATAAATTTAAATGAATAATACATGTTTGCTTGCAACATGGACAGAGGATTTATTTGCTCTCTAAACTAAATTCTGTGTAACCTGCACACACACTTGCTGAATTAGTTTAAAGTGAGTCCACTGCCATAAAATAGTTAACCAAAAGTGCATGAACATAAAACCAACAAACAGATAAATAACATATGGATGATAACTTAAGAGCTTGTTTTCACACACGTAAATTCTGTACCATTCACTGCTGCATTTATTAACAATAATAAACAAGAAAATGTAACTAAAAGGCTTTTTTTCTGAGGGGTAATAACAGGTCAGCAAACCAAAAATGAATAACTTATAATAACCGCAAAAGTTATGCTAATGTTAAAAGCCTGCTGGTTAACCACTGATGCTGAAGTCACTTTAAACAGGGAAATTCTGAAGCTTTTAGTCATTTACAGTTATGCTCACATTGAATCGATTTAAAACGTGATGGTATCAGATGCTATCAAGACGGTGACAGGGAGAACGGTATTCATTTGTAGAACCATTGACACGACAGTTTAAACCCTGGATTAGATGCGTAACCTTTGCAATTTGCTAACTGAACTGTTTCAAATCCTGATTTCAATTTATAATTGATTAGCTGATTAATCCTACCTCTAACTGCCGTAGCGCCACAGTTAGCGACGACTGTGCATGACTTCCACAGCTGCTGCAGAACAGAAGGAACCAAATATCCTCATCAGAGTCGGTCTGTGTGCAGCATGCCGACTTAGATGTAAGCATAAAAGTACAGAAATGTGCCTTTGGTTTGTAAATCTTATCATTAAACCTAAAAACATTAAAACGTTTACTTTACAATTGCTATAGCTATCTAATCTAAATAATGTCAGAGGGCTCATGTCCCCTCAAGCTGTCTGGGTACACCACCTCTGAATGTGTTAATAAGTCAACTTCAAAGGTGCTGTGAAAAGCCAGGCAGCTGTTTTGTCCTGTTCCGAGTCAGTAAGGTCAAGAAAACAAACAAAAAGGGAATACATTTAAAATTTAAATACATTTATTTGAATTTCAATCTAATGATACAGGCCTGTTGCCAGATATATGCCACAGGTGTTGCAGGCTAAGTGCAGGTTTGTGATCTGCAGGTACGGCGTGTGTCTGATCGGCATAAAGAGGGAGGACAACAAGAGCATCCTGCTGAACCCTGGTCCACGTCACATCATGGCCTCCTCAGACACCTGCTACTACATCAACATCACCAAGGAGGAGAACTCAGCCTTCATCTTCAACCAGGAGGAGAGGAAGGGCCGTCCTGTCGGGGGGCTCCTGGACGGACCCTGTCAGCTTCCTGTGCACAGCATCATCGCCAGCATGGGTGAGAAAGGAATCAGACTGTGATAAACTGTTGAAAGAAACACCTGTGACAGGGATTGATGGATTTTGTGAAATTATCTGTGAATCAATGTCGTTACAGGCACTGTTGCCATGGATCTTCAGAATACGAGTCCACCTGACTCCTCAGGTGGTAAGCTGATCCCTCCTACAGTAAATGGAACAGGAGGCCGCCGGCCGAGCATCGCTCCGGTCCAGGAAATCGCCGACTCTGCCTCGATCCTGCCGTGTGACCTGCTTAGTGACCAATCGGAAGATGACTCTGTCTTCACAGATGAGAAAGGCCACCCATCTACTGAGTAAGGATTCCGCCACCAAACCTTAAAACCTTGTTACAAGTACCACAGTTCAACAAACACCTTTATGATAGACGTATATAAGAGACAAGACGAGACTTGTTGTAGAAGTGAGATGTCGTGTTGTGAAACCACGTCAGTAGATTCTTATAGATTCTGTTTCCATCTGTGGCGTCAATTTTAAGGTATTTGCTTCACTTGTACTCCTCTGATTTACTTTCTATTACTTTATATCTCTATTCCACTACTTTAAAGCTTGGAATATTGCACATTTTGCTACACAGCGTTCATCTAAAGCTATTATTTTTAGGCATTTGGCCTTTATTAGGCAGCACAATGGAGACAGACAGGAAATAAAGGGACATGCAGCAAAGATGTGGCCAGCTGGGAGCTGAACTCAGCTGCTGAGGACATTTCAGGCCATGTGGTTTGCACCTGAACCAGTCGGACGTTGTGTCATCTTACCTTGTATTTATTTGACAGCTGAAGCTTACTAGCTGTTCTGTGATTAAAGATTTTAAATACAAAACATATGATTAGCTTATAAATTAACACTCAGTTTCCATTAATGCTGTTTCATCTCAGGTTGAGCTGCACACCTTTAACATCTGACACTGATGTTTATTCCAACTAAGTCTACTTTCTTTACCAATATGTGGTGACTTTACTAAATATTAGGCCCAAAAAACAAAAGGCAAAGTATTTCACTCTCTTGTTAGATCTATTTACTAGTAACTACAAATTTATGCAGCACGCAACTGAACCTGAATGCACTGTGTGTGGATGACATGAATAAATGAGATGAAATTATCGAAAAACATACTGAAGTCTTTTTTAGAACAAGAGAGTACAACGAGAGAACCGGAGATGAATACGGGATGTTTTAATGGAATGTGTCATTCATGCTTTTTTTTTTTTGCTTTTGTTGCCAGGTATGTGAAAGGTTATCCCCCTAACTCTCCGTACATTGGGAGCTCGCCCACTTTGTGCCATCTGTTGGCTGAAAAAGCCCCGTTTTGCTGCCTACGACTGGACCAGGTGGGCAGTGGCTGTTCCTTCAACTTAGTCACTCCGTTACTTACTGCCTCCATCATTCCCTCTCTCTCCGCTTTCTGTCCTTCACTCTATAAAAGCAAACCTAAAATACCTGTCTGTTTTTTTTTTTTTTTTATTTGCTCCCTGTGCAGGGGTGCAGGCACAACAGCTTTGAGGATGCCAAGGCTTACGGTTTTAAAAACAAGCTCATCATTGTGTCGGCTGAGACAGCAGGGAATGGTCTCTATAACTTCATAGTGCCTCTAAGAGCTTATTACAGACCCAGGAAAGAGCTCAACCCTATTGTCTTGCTGCTGGATAACCCGTGAGTTTAACACACACACACACACACACACACACACACACACACACACACACACATCCCTCCTTTCTTCTGCCTTCACTCTGTCTTTCACCATGTCATGCTGGGAAACATTATGTATGTTAAAAGCTCGCGTCAGCTGAGCACTTAGGACAAGGCTGTGGAGGTGGGACTCCTTTGTCAGTCCTCATGCTCAGTTAGTGCTGCTGCTCGCAGTGACGGTGTGTTTTGAGCGACAAAGAAAAATAAAAATGCCGCTCTCTGTACCTCCAGACGGTCACCATGGTAACTCACTTTGCCTTGAACCTGAATGATATATATTGCTACGAGGGGAGAAAAAGATGGAGAAAATAATTTCTTTGGAGAGCACCACGCAGGCTTTCATCGACAGCCCTGATGTGTCCCTTTTCAGCCCCCACATGCCGGCTCTCAGGACTCTCACAGAAACGCACGCATAACAATAAACTCTCCCTCCGTGCGCTCGCTTTCTCGCTCCCTTCCTATCGCCGTCGCACACACACACACACACACAAATACAAACACCCACGCACTTGGATACGCAATTCAAGCACTTACGACAGCCTTGGGTCTCTAGTCAGCAGGACTGGGCAGATGTATAAAGTAATGTTCTGTCAGGGGTGGTGGTGGTGGAGGACAGGCGGTAATAAAGCGACTGAATCTCTCGGAGTGCGTTCAGCACCAGATGGACTCATCCCTCCGCCTAAAGACTCTCTAACTGGGGAGTTTAAGCCACCGCAGGGATTCCTGAGGGGGTTGCACTTAGTATTGCACATCATCACATAGGAAAACACTCATCCCTATAGAAGCTCTAAAGTAGCTACACTGGAAAAAAGAAATAAATACAAATCTAAATTTTTATGGAAAATAACATTTTACAGCAGTTTTTTAGATTTTTTCTCAAATGTACAGAAAAGTCTGTCAAATTACAAACACTACATTTAAATTAACGACACAACAGAGATTTTAAGTGTTACACTAATAATACCAAACTGCGTTTCTTTTTCTTTTTGAAAATTGTCTATATTATTTAAACAGTATTTTTTCAGCTGTCTTAAATTACATACAAATGTACATATAATAGCAGTCATTAAATATGTAGCTCTTTATATAAAGGTTTATACCATTACTATCAGTATACAGTTATTTCTTATAATTTCAAGGTAAATCTTATTAGTTTTATACTTATGTGTACTTTTATTCTGTAATTTAGGATACAAATTAGGGACCCATATTTCATTATATTCAACATAATGCTTTTGGGTTTTACATGGTTTTTGGGTGGTACGTTGGGGTTTTATTGTCTTAACGCTCCGTACCTGAGCAGGTGTGAATAAAAGACCTGCATGGGAAGTCTTGAAATGTCACCACTCTCCTGCTGCTGGAGCTCAACATGCTCTTCTGGCTGCTTTTATTTTTTGCACTTTGTCATTTCTGATATTTACTTAAGTTACACATTTCTTTAAAAATTAAACTTACTTTTATAAAATCTTGTGTCAGTGTTACATCCCATGAGCTCAGTCATTACATAGAGGAAGGCCATTTTTAGTTTTTGGTTCCTCTTGGGGGGCTCTACAGAACTACTTATGCAGATTTGTTTGATATAGTAAATTTTCATTTGAATAAAATAAAAGTATTTTGGAATCAATAGTAGTGTGTACTGTATTTGTTTGCCAAAATAAGACTGGTATTTAGCAATCTGGAGGATGTGCTATCACTTCAGTGAAGGTGTTTGATTGTAAGAATTTAGGAAAAGTCTGTAAACAACAGTGTTTTACAACAAAACACATAATGAAACTCTGTGAATTTACTGTTTTTGCCAGGAATATCCTGATCAAGCTATTTTTTTTAACCTGGGATCCAATCTGAGCCATTTAAATACTTAGCATCTGCCAGTACTGAGTTTTAATCCGACACCATTTTCCTTGATAATACACAGACTGCTTCAAGTATATTAAAGTTATTGAACTCAATCCAGTGTATATGTTTGACAACTGAATAGCTCTGCTATGCATAAAGAAAATGCATTTCTGCATCCAAACTGTCCTGTAGTGTTACTTGGTGGCCAAGAACTTTGTGTAAAACTCTGGTAGTGCACTGCCTGAAGTGTAGTGAGAAGAGGTTTACTGTGTACTGTGGCTCCACAAGCTCCAAAAGAGGGTGACAACCTGTATTTTCTGAATGCATGTCGGAAAATGTATTGTAGATTAGTTGTAGTACCTGGCTCTTACACCAGTTGGAACTTCTTACTGTGTAATACTGAAGTAACTACAGGAGGTGGTCTATGGGCAGTTCTGTGTTGGCAAGTAGAGAGTATTGTTGGGGTTTAGCGAGCAACAGGCCACCATGACAAAGACTTGTGTGATACTTAACGCTCTCCGGTCAGAGCTCAGGAGTTTAAGACAAGCTTAGATCAACCAGCTCAGTGTTCTGATGTCTGAGTGGTGTGTGTAACATTACTGCCTAAGTAGCCTAAATAATGTGACCAATAATCAAACCACCAAAGCAGCACAGCACAGATGTCCACTGTGCTCATTTGTAGTTTGTAACAAATAGGTTATTCATTCATAACGCATCTGATTATAATCTATTGATTAAGAATTTACAACAAAACTGCCTTGATTACCCAAATCCCAATCTTTGAAATCGGATCGGGACACCTCTAGTTTTTCCACTTTATTTGAATTAGGATGTTTTTACTTTACATTTTGTGTTTGGCAGCAGTTGCTCCAGTCATTTGACCGTTTTTTCCACTTTTTCTTTTTTTCTCTCTCTTTTTGTACAGTGAGAGTGTATTTAGAGTGTGTTAGGCCAAAACTCTTAGTGGTTTTGTCTGAATAGACTTTGTTATGTAATTTTTTGGATTCAAGTCCTGGATGAAAGTTACTAAGTGGTTTAGCAACAACAAGGCCATTCATCCAGCCAGCCGCTATCCCCACTTCATCCTGTAGAGGGTAATGGGAGGGCTGGAGCACATCCTGGCTGACAATGGCCAAGAGGTGGGAAACACCCTGGACAGGGCACTAGTCCACAAGTCAATCACCACAACTGAGATTTGAATCGACAAACAATACTTGATTTATAAGATGCCCAGAAAACTAGTGTTTTACACGTATGTCTTGTCAAACGTTTAGTCCATCTCATCTTCCGGCAACATGAACAAAACTGCACAACTAGGTACAGCACTTTACCAACAACACACCAATTCAAAGTGGTTTATATAAGACATAACGTCAATAACGTGACTGACTGAATAGAATTTCAAACAAACTGAGTAGCAGAAGAAAGAATGCAAGCTTTTGAAGAAGAAGAGCTTTTAAAACTCATCCTCTGGGCTTTCTCTGTGTAATTTCTTGAGTGAATGCCCGACTCAGCTTTTGTGCGTCGTCTTTGTCTAAAGCATCTGTTTATTTGTGTCTTACTATATCATGTTGGTGGTTTTTGTGAATAAAGGAGAGCAGAAAAGAAAATTCGCAAAACGAATTCTGCCGTTACGTGTGTTTCCTGCAGACCTGATAATCACTTTCTGGAGGCCATCTGCTGTTTTCCGATGGTCTACTACATGGCTGGAAGCATAGACAAGTAAGACTGTTGTATAGCATTCTGCCATCATTATAATTCTGTTAGGGTTTACATTTATGGTTTTCATGAAAATATATCCAAGAGGTGCTTGTACATCACTAGAATTTAATTAGATGTTCAGTTTCTTCCTGGCAAATTGTTGCCTCCTGTTGTTCTGCTCATTGTTTTGCGTGTTTGTCTTTCAGCCTGGACAGCCTGCTGCAGTGTGGCATTATCTACGCCGATAATTTGGTTGTTGTGGATAAAGAGAGTACAATGAGTGCTGAGGAGGACTACATGGCTGATGCCAAAACTATTGTCAATGTGCAGACGATGTTCAGGTAATTAGGCAGGTTTTTATCACGTCTGTCATATATTATTCACAACACGCAGTCATGAAATCATTGGGTCTGAAGCTCCACTAGAAACCAGGTTTGGACCGCGGCGGTATAGTGCGAAAATTATTTGGAAAGTTTGGTAATAAATTGTGATGTTTACTCTCATCTTCTGGGTTTTATTTATTTTTTTATTGTTCTTTTTGTCTTCTCTCACTCTCTCTCTCGCTCCAGGTTGTTTCCCAGTCTCAGTATTATCACAGAGCTTACTCATCCGTCCAACATGAGATTCATGCAGTTCAGAGCGAAGGACTGCTATTCACTGGCTCTCTCCAAGCTGGAGAAGGTAACGCGGAAAAAGAGAGGCCGTACGCTGAACTGCATGGTGTGAATTATGAACATGAAATATGAAAGGTTATTCCATTGTGACTTTGTAAACAGTCAGGAGAGCGGCAGGCTTTTCATTGTCATCGCCGTGCTTCATGTGACTCTCCCCCACAGAAGGAGCGTGACAAAGGCTCCAACCTGGCCTTCATGTTTCGCCTACCTTTTGCTGCAGGCAGAGTGTTCAGCATCAGCATGCTGGATACCCTCCTCTACCAGGTTGGTGCACACCTACAGCAAAACACCTGGCCTCAGATAATACTTTTGCAGGAGCAGGTGAACGAAATAAATGTGTAGAGCGGCGGAGAAACGGCTGAAGGAACATAACAGCGTTGCCTTCATAAAGCACAAGTGCCCTCTTGTGTTCAGTCGCTGATAGAAAGTTTCTTTATGTCTGCAATGCTTTCAGCTGCCGTAAACAAAATAATAAAGAGATTTTTTTTTTCTGTGTCAGTCTTTTGTGAAGGACTACATGATCCTTATTGCGAGGCTGCTGCTGGGACTGGACACCACTCCAGGATCAGGATACCTCTGTGCGGTGAGTTAGATGGAAGAAAAATATGCATTTAAGCGAAGAAATGATCTGTGTTAGTGTTATATTACATTTAACAAACTAATGGTGTGCCCTTTCATCTGTGGTTCTAGATGAAAGTAACAGAAGAAGATCTGTGGATCAGTACTTATGGGAGATTGTTCCAGAAGCTCTGCTCCACTAGTGCTGAAATTCCTATTGGGATCTATCGGACAGAGTCGCACATTTTCTCTACTTCTGAGGTGAGATCTCAGAGCGACCATTTCTAGTGCACCCTGAACAATAATATAACATGCAAATCCTCCTCTTTTTGTCTTATAGAAGACATTTTAAAAATGCAGCTTTATTCAAGTGACACGATGCCACAGATGACAAGAGAAAGATGAGAACGAGCTGTTGCCTTGCTGGATGCTGGTATGTCAGTCAGAGCTGTAGCCAGGAACTTGAGTCTCCACAACTCCACTGTTGTTGTTGTTTTTTTGTTTTTTTTTAATCTAAAAAAATAGTTGCAGACAGCATGGTACGACAGACAATCTGCCACTTGACAGCAGACAATGTCACCACCCGAGCCCAGGATTGTTACATCCAGCACGTCCATCTGTGAAATCGTTTGTTATCGGCTTGGCACTCTGCTGATTGAGTTGTTGGTGTGAACAACCAGAGTATCTGTTAAAACTTTGAGGAATAGACTGAGAGAATCGGGTCAGTGGTCTCGCTTCCCACAAGGCCTTGATCTAACGGTTGAGTGGCATCGTAATTGGCTCCAGTGAGTAGCCAATTAAGTTCGTTGGACACTAGAAAGATGAAAGGCGAATGGCAGTGTCACATGGTGAGTGGCTCCTGGATGTAGGGTACTGATGATATTTGCCAAAGTGACAAAGAACACATCTGCATTTTGTTGATGGAAGTCTAACTGTCCAACGATATTAAGATGAACTCCTCACAGCCATGCTTATCTTATTCATCTGCCCCCATCACTTGACTCTTCAAGAAAACAACGCGTGCTTTGCCAGAACAGACACTGCTTAAAATGTTCCAGTCCTATTACGGCCTGCACACTCTCCAGACTTGTCACCCATCAAGCGTCTGTGGGACACTCTGGATGGACGCGTCTGACAACTTGATCTGATCACCCAAAATGTCCTCCACTTTCACCAAAATCTTCAGGAAGAGTGGGGCAGCAGGCCAAAAAAACAACACTGACAACCCATTAACTATGTGTCACAGATGTGTGACTCATTTCTGACTTCTGATTTCTGCTCTATGACCCCACTGCCAGATATAGTAGGCACTTGGTTGTTTCATGACTTCCAGTCTGTTGTAGAGATGCCGTGTCTTGGAACAACAAATACTTATTACATTATTTACTAAGCCAGCTAACATTTGCTTAATAGCACTGAATGCAAGATACAGAGGAGGCTCAAGGGAATGGAATTGGTTTCGCAATATTGGACAAATTGAATTATTATTTTTTTTTAAATATATATGTATATTTTGGGGGCTGCACGGTGGCTCTGTGGTTAGCATCGTCGCCTCACAGGTAGAAAATCATTGGTTTGCGTCCCAGTTACTATGCCTGGGTCAGGATCTTTCTGGAGTTTGCATGTTCTCCCGGTGCAGTGTGGGTTCTCTCTGGGTTCTCCAGCTTCCTTGGATGGACAGACGGATGGATGGACGGACGGATGGATGGATGGATGGATGGATGGATGGATGGATGGATGGATGGATGGATGGATGGATGGATGGATGGATGGATGGATGGATGGCATTTTTGGCTTTATTGAGCAGTGGTGATAGAGAAGAAAAGGTAATGTGAGGACAGAGGACAGTGGAATGACATGCAGCAAAAGTCCAGGCTGGTTAGGAATCAGAGGCAACTTAAAGGCACATGAGAAGCCCCCACAGTCCATTCTGTGGTAACAGGAATGTCTGCAACAAAGTTGTGAAGCTATTTTTTAGGATCCACATCACACTAACTCTTGAGGGAAAGTCAAAAATCTTTCAATACATTTTCTGGGACTTAAATTGATTATTTACCTCATTTAATGATCACTGTTTCCATGTTTTGTGAAGCTTTATTATAATAATCATCCCGTCTCTCCTCATCTAAGTCACAGGTGTCCGTCAGTGTGGACGACTGCGAGGACACAAAAGACAGGGGGGACGAGTCTCGCAGCAACGACCAGTCAGATCACCCCCTCCTGAGGAAGAAGAGCATGCAGTGGGCACGGCGTCTGAGTAAGAAGAGCGTGAGGTGGCAGGGGGTGAACCGGGACTCCAGCAAGGACCACGCCCAACGCATCGCCCAGCAGCGCCTCAACCTCTACAGACGCTCCGAGAGGGAGGAGCTGTCCGAGCTGGTCCGCAACCGCATGAGGCATCTGGGCCTCCCCACCTCTGGATATGGTATGGATGGATACAAAGCGAACCGCTCAGTGCGTTTGTCTACTTCTGCTTGAAAGTTGCCTGTTTCCTGTTTAACGGCTGTTTGTGTGACTGTAGAAGACCTGACGAATCTGACCGCCAGTGATGTCATGAACAGAGTCAACCTGGGCTATCTGCAAGGTAACCAAGCTATGATCCTGAGTCAGGTACAGATTCGGTCATCACGCCATCACACACACATGACTGTCCTGTTTTCAGATTGTGGCGGTGTTTCTGTTTCAGATGAGCAGAACGATCACCAAAACACCCTGTCATACGTCCTGATTAACCCTTCCCCTGACACCAGGCTGGAGCTCAATGACATTGTGTGAGTGTAACTCCTTTGTGTTGTGAGCTGGTTTGAATTTTGCTCACAAATGATAATCTGTATTTTTTTTCCTGCACAAAGGCATATAGAATCCTACTTTACTATGCTCACCTTTTTCAAGGCTGTCTTATTTGTAGGTGCGAATGTATAATAGAATCCCTCAGTAGTGAAGTGAGAATGAACACATAATTCCCTTTTACCCATCATGATGTGATTTAATCCTTCTTTACCTAAAGCTGCACTTGTCAATGTTTTTATTTCATCCATGGATGAAACGATTATTAGTTTTGGAAATGATATCACCTCTCGTGACTAACTGTCAAACGCTGCAGAGTATTTCAACACGATTTAACTCACTGTTTTAATGGCTACAAACGTACTGTTTTGGTTCACCCACTGTATGACACCTACTCAGCACCAGACACACAATGACTTAGTAAGTGATCATAGAGGATCAGTTAGCATCTAAAGAGACGGATGAGTCTCACAGGAGTCAAAACAGAGTGACAAGCAGAGTGAATATTGGACTTTGTCAGACGGCCAGAAACTCTGATTTAATACTGAGGTTACAGCGTTCACTACCATGATAGTCATATTTACTTTATAGTGAGTAAGTAAGGAGGAGCGTATATTTTTTTTTGTGTAGAACCACAAAGTGTGTCAGTATACATTAGAAAAAAAGACTGTCAAGTTAATTTACAGAGCACATTTTGTTCACCAAAGTGCAAAAATGTATAAACAGAAGCACAGAAGGTACAGTAACAGGACAATTAGACTAAACAGATAGAAAATACTACATTGATTTCAGTTAAGGCATGGATTATATGTCAAATTAGGAAAGTGTTAAGCAAGGATTTTAAAGTAACAGATGTCTGGATAGATCTAATGTGAAGCACAAAATCTCTCTTTGTTTTGAACCTGGATTGTAGACCCAGTAGGAGCATCGGCTCAGCAGCAGCACAGAAAAACATGGAAAACAAACGTGGATGATCAAGCAACACATTTCTTTATTTTATTATATATATATATGATTTACAAAAAGATGTGAATAAGGAACAACCCCCAGAAAATGGTGACGATTGCACGATTCAGCAGTAGGTGTGTATTTACAGCTACAAGGTGGTGAAATCTGTTGTAGTTCTGTGTTTGCAGCTTGTTCCACAGGCAGCAGGTATTTTCTAGGTTTGGAAGTGCATTCAGGAGGAAACGTTAAATTATAATACAGCAAGCAAGGCCCCATTCAGTATCCATGGAAACGGCTGTTTCTTTTCATGACAGAGAGGGCAGCTCTGGGTTTACTTGTGATCTTTCATGCGTCGTCCTTCAGAACTGCAGTGAAGACGGACCAGTGTAGAGAGTGAGCCCTGACCCCCCCCTCCTCCCAATGTGGTGACTCTCTCGGTGTAATTATTTCAGTTTGCCTTCCTCCTGCTCTCTCAGGTACTTGATTCGCTCGGACCCTCTGGCTCACGTCCCCGAGGAGCCTCCTGTTCGCAGCAGCAGCCTCAAAGAGCGACACGAGTCCAGCATAGACGCCAGAGAGGACACCCAGCTCTGATACCATGCTGACCTTCACTGATGCGCTCCTTCTTAATCGCCCCCCCTCCTCTTTCTCCTCCACATCTTTTGGCTTTCATGGGTGGGGGGGGGAGTTGGTTGCAGGTCCGGTCTGAAAGAGGACAATTTGTGCTCAAATGTCTCAGCACTGCAGTGTGCCACTGTATTATACGAGTGCCTACTGTTTGTCAGATGACATTTGATGTCATCTGTGACATTTTCATCCTCTTGCCACAGACACTGTATGTAAGAATTGTGCATTCATTTTCGTGAGAGCTCTGTCAGATGAGCAGTCAGGGACACGCTTGTTAGCAAATGAATTCAGCTAACTGATGGAGGAATCACAGGAATCCCCCTCACGAGTGTCATTGTCAGCGACACCTCCTGAATTTTAAGAGGTTCAAGCTGAGTACCGGAGGTTTTAACCACATAGAGGTTGGTGTTCCAGGATCCATCTTTTCTCTGCTTTTTTGAGATCATCTGAAATCAGGTGCACATTCTAAATTTTCTTGTGCTGCACATTTACCTGTTTACTACCAATCACATCAAATCAAACATAACTTTCAGCACTATGTGACTTTAATAAAAAAATGTGCATTAAAGCTTTTAAAGCTTATTTTTTTGTAGCTCAATCATAGAAGTAGTTTTTCAGTGGTGTAGAGGTCTTTATTAGTAAGTCATGTACAGACAGTAATGGTTCTTTATATGTTCGCTGCAGTACATTTCTTAGGGTCAATGAGGTTTTAGCACTACAAGAGCGTAGTTCAACCCTTTAAGCAGGCCGTGCCATATATTCAATATTGTGCCATAAAGGATTTATTTGATTTGTACTATATTAGTAATCAGAAAAAAATACTTTCAACACTGCTCAGTGAAATAATTTGCTTAATAATTTCCATTTGTGGTTGTTTGGGCGAGGTCTGTATCTCTAAAAAGTTTTTGAATTCATATATATTTGAATGTTGATAATATTTGTACTCTTATTTGCACATTAAAGTGCTATGTTAGGGGGAAAAAAAACATATTGAAACTGTTTTGAGTTGACTAATAATTTTGCTTTTAGTGTAGCTACAGTATGTCTTCAACCAAAGGGTGGCATCAGAGGAATAGTTCCACTTTTTATTTAATTTTTTTTCAATTACATTTGCAGAGATATTGAGATTTTTTAAAAGATGGATGCAGGAGCCAGTTCACTTAACTAGACATAAAGACTGTAAACAGGGAAAACTGCTTGCCTGACTTTGTAAAAAAAAAAATCAGAAAATCTCCCACCAGCATGTCTAATTAATTAGCCCATTACATCTGGTATATTTATTAATGTCTAAAAAAGTGTACAAATGGTTCAGTATTTCCTGGCTGGTTGCTTCCAGATTTTACAAACCACTACACAGTTTGTTATTTAGTTAGTTTTTATAGGCATATATTTAAGGTGAAAACAGATTTTTCTTGATTTTATCAGTAGAAAGAAAGAAAGAAAATATTCAGTTTTAAAATGCCTTTAAATGGCTCTTAATAGACAGACACTTGTATAAAAATAAAGGAAAAGTGGGTTTGAAATTAAGTTATAAACGTCTAATAATTCTAAGAGCTACATTTGTATGATGTGACACACAGGTCAGGTAAATGAGTGACTTGTTACACATGTAAATAAACTGTAGATGCAGACGTCAACACACCAGGGGGCGCTGTTGAAAGGTCCTAATGAGTTTTACTAATTTTATGAGAATTGCTTATAAACATCATTTTGAACTAATTACATTTTTCAGAGGTGATTCCAGCAGGATGGCCCTGAAGTCTATCTTTGCTGAGGAGGATAACATATTGCAAAAAAGTTTCTGTGAATGACTTCTTTGGCCATGAAAGGGCAGCGTACTAGTATCTTATGTCATACATACCTTATATAATGAAAAAAATACAATAAAAATTGACAATATTTGAAGGAACAGTGTTTTTTGGTTGTTTCAGTGTCTTGTCGCCTTCATCAAATGCGTAAGTTGCAGTAATTTACAACATATTGGGATATAAAAGGTCTTATTGTCTGCAGCAGTTGGGATCCAAAAGAGTGGAAATTTATGACAATAAAAATGCATTTCTCTCACTTATGTCGTGTATTCAGCCCGCTGTTATAAAGGCTGTGGAGTGTTGATGTACAAAGACCTTTAAAACTGACTCTGCTCAGTATTTCTGTAATTCTGACTGTATCTTCCTGCGCCTTGGGAACTTCTCATCGTACAGTGTTGCTCCGATTCCAGTGCCACGTGCAGCGCTTGGCATTCAGGCCAGAAAGATCAATCTATGCCTCATTAGGCAACAGAATCTTTTGCCCTAATGCTCTCACTTTCAAGTATCGTTAGGGACACTCTCATGTGCTTCACACCAAACACTGACCTCTGTCTAGACACCTCGTCATAAGGGGCTGAAAAGAGGACTGCCGAGCTGTTTGTTTTGTTTTTTTTCCACCTTCATTGTAGAGTAATGTTGTAATTCTGTTAGAGAGATCAGTGACTCCTTGGTTACCTTCCTGAACAGAAACCACAACTATTTGCTTTTGTTTTGTTCATTTGGCAATTGACCTGATACGGTCTACCTTTTTTTTTTTTTCAGTTATTACATTTCCAGTTTTGTCTTTTAGCTTCCAGCTGCTGTTGCCATCAATGTAGGATTATGTAACTTATGTGTTTACATTGTTTAAGAAACATGTTTTACCTCCAATATGCTCATTAGAGCCGGAGAGAACTGGAGCAGAGAACAGCAGAGAAACGGAGCGAGACAGATGTGAAGAAAAAGACGAGAAGAAAGGCCGACAGTGAGGAACGGACGCACACACTGTGTACACACAAACCACTGCAGCTTTAGCAAGAAAACATACCTAGTTGCATTTTATTATATCTCTTCAAAATAAATAAACATACAATTTAACACAATGAAATAAGACTCATAACATCTCTGAATGCCTGTAACAGAATAAAACCTCAAAATAGTGCCTGCTTTTTTAGTAAACATAACTTGTACGTAGCGTACAAAAAATACTACTCAAAAATGTACAAAATGCAGCAAACAAATATCAAGTATTGTGCAGTTTTCCCAAACATTGTACCAGCTGCTGACAATCAGTCATTACAGGGAAATTACTAGTGCTGAGCGCCAGAAGCTACATTAAAAATGCACAGAATCCAGTGAGCGGTTAATGAGCAGCGAACAACTCAGTGGCGATACTCAGTTGTTTTGGTTCGGCAATATGAGCCAGTCGGGAATCTCAGATGGCTCATATGGGTGGTGGGATATAAGTATTAAGCAAATACAATAATACGCATTGCTGATATGGTATAACGCAGCCTCGAAAGCGCTTCCAGTTTGGAATATATACTAGTAGAATTTCCCTTAGTGTAAAAACAACATCATTTGTCTTCCACCTTCAAAGCAGCACACAGCTTCCAAAACTAAAAAAAAAAAAAAAAACAGAAAACACAGTTGTTCTGTTGCATGACAGAAGTTTTTAAAGCATAATTAAGAGAGTAAACACATTCAGGGCTGAATGCACGAGCCGTGCTTTCAGCTCTCCCCTTCCCTAACACAAAGACTCACACACTTCCCCAAACACACTAAATAGAAAACAAGACGAGACATGACCACTGACTGACATCCATTCCATACGTACATTAAAAAAGTCTGTTCAAAGCCCCCTCCTCATAAAAGCATGTACCAGCAGTAGAAGTAGTCTCTGTATGAGCAGCCCGGATTAATCACAGCAGTAGGGTAGTTTTTTTTTTTTGCCAAGCTGAAATAGCAAACTTTACTAGACATTGTCAAGTTCGCTGCTGCCTGTCAGTAGTTGCACTTGTTATCAGTAGTACACTTGATACTGAGTAGATCCAGTCGTATTTAACTCCAGGTCCAGTCTCTCTTCACTGCTACATAAGAACCAAGTGCCTAATTGATGTAGGACGTACCTACAAATTAAAACACTGAAGTGTGACATGCAGAACAAAAACCAAACGAAAAGAAAAAACAGAGCACATTGAGTTGGCAGGTGTTTCATAATCTCGCACTGCCACATCTCCATTAATGAGAACATCTAACCCCCCCCTCTCTAATGACATGTCAAGATTATTGGGTCCTGCCCAACACTGATGAATGGAACGGAAACTGTCACGAGTGTCCCTCACTTCCTCCGTGCACTTCCTGGTCTCTTGACCTGCCAGAGGTGATTGTGGATGGTCAGGGCGTCCACGCTGACCGACACAGTCTTAGCGGGGATGACAGTGAACTGCTTGCGGTCTGAGCTGTATTTGTAGAGCTTGTCGATCATCTTGCGGCTGATAGTGCGCGGACCCGTGCCCGTGAACTTGATGATCTCTTCGGTGTCCGGTGAGTACGAGTAAATGGCGCGGAACTGGCACCCACCGTCTCGGAAAAGGATGATCAGGTGATTGGACTCACACTTTTCCAGCTCCTGTGAAGCGGTAACAAAAGCATAATTTTTGAGAACATGAGCTAAGAACTAAGGGAATAATACATCAAATAACTTTACAGGCATACCTTCTATATATTAATGAACAATCACTACTGATGAATTCATTCCAAGTGATCACACTGACCTCAAGAATAACATTCTTCTGGACCTCATTAACCTTTCCAGCCAGGCAGCAGTGGGCGATGGCATTGATGATGATTGGCTTGTTGGACTTGGAGCTGGGCTCTTTGAACAGTTTGGGACCTTTAACAAAGAGAACATATAAAAAAGATGAATAGAAATACAATAGTCTCAAACTGTTAAAAGTTTGTTTTTAGGGTCCGAGCACACCAGTGCAAGGACCCTATTGTAACCGTTGTGATTATTATTAGGGTCCGAGCACCCAAAAGGGTGCGAAGACCCTATTGG